CAAACAGCCTGAAAAACCTGCAACAACCATCAGATCCCGGCCATGAAAGCCTTTGAGAATACAAGTAAAAGACAATGCTTATCAAAAAGAGAAGTAAAATAAATGCTTATCATTTCATTAATTTGTAAGCCTTGCTATATATTTAGATTGATGTAAATTAGCTGAGTAGCTTGAATAGGAATGTAGCTGAATCTAGATTTCTTTCTCCACAGAATCATCCTGTTGCACGACCTTTTTACTATGTGATAGGTATACTTAACCTTTTCTCCTTTCTTTAACAGGTTGTTCAGAGGGGGAATACTCTAGCAATTATTGTCATCTGGTAAGTCAGCAATCTGTAACAGCTAGTCACTTATTTATGTGCCCTCAGCTGTTGTATCTGCATGAAAATTTGTGCAAACTTGTTTTATAGATATTACCAGATTCTGAATCAGCCAAAGATACACAAGGAGCAAAACATCAAGGAAAGCAAAAGTTTAAAGTGAAGGAAATGTATCTCACAAAACTCCTGTCTACAAAGGTAACTCCTGGGTTCTATTTCAGGTTAGATGGGGGGGAGTTTTAAACAAAAGCCAGAGTTACCTACAACAGTGTTTGTTATGCACATTTCTGTGCAGTTGAAAATTGGTGTGACTTAAAGGGCACTGAATGCAATTGATCACAGCTGTCTAAAGCTTTAGTTAGCAAGGGATGGTTTTCCCTATTAATTTACTTGCATAATGGGAAAATCAAAGTACAATATAAATAGAGCTGCCTCTGCTATTGAAGAAAACCAAAAGTGTGATAGAATAATGGTAGCAAATGTCTATGCATTATGACAATACGAAGAAACACAGAAAGCTGCAAGCTCCCTTGGTCCATCTACAAGTAGCACAGTTGTGTCAACTACAGCTGGCACTGGCTGTCCCAGGTTTCAGTCAAGATTCTTGATGGTCTCCAATCCAAGGACTGACCAGGCCATGTGCGTTCAGAGTGGTGTGATGGTGGATCCTTGAAGGCATTGTAGCAGTACATGTTTTAGAGAGTCATGACAAAATTAATCTGTTATTGATTTAAGAAATCACATGATCATTGCTAGAGGTGTAGGAAGAATAAGGAAGATTTTGTCTCTGTGGAATAAGAAGACAGGTGTGTAAAAAAATTATTTATCTCTCATGTTATTGGTGTTTCCAGAAATAATGAAGTACATTCTTTTATGTAGTATTGCATGAAGTCCAGGGTGCTGGCTTTTCCCCCAAGTGTAAGACTTGATTGGAAGGTTCTGTTCTTAGAATGCAAGTTGTCTGTGGTAGATCAGGCAATAATTTTGTTAACTTGCATTTCAAGAAACCTTTTGTATAATTACATTTTATAAAACGGTTTCCCTCCCTTCACAGGTTGCTGTTCACTCAGTTGTTGAAAAGCTCTTTCGGAACATTTGGACTCTCCCTAACAATAAAGCCCCAGTTGCTGTCAAATATTTTTTTGACTTTTTGGATGCTCAGGCTGAAAATAAAAAAATTACAGATCCTGACGTAGTCCACATATGGAAAACCAACAGGTATGCATCTATATATGTGCTTAACTTGTTCAGTAGTGGCATATTGAAAATGTTTCATAAACAGTGATGACTTATGTAGTTTTTAGGCCATGATTTCTTCAGAGGACTGATACTACATTATTTTGAAAGGATGCATTAAAATTTTTCTACTACATTAATCTGAATTTTTCCTTTTCTCTGAACAGTCTTCCTCTTCGATTCTGGGTGAACATATTGAAGAACCCCCAGTTTGTCTTTGATGTTAAAAAAACTCCACATATAGATGGCTGTTTGTCAGTAATAGCACAGGCATTTATGGATGCCTTTTCTCTGTCTGAGCAACAACTGGGAAAGGTAGTATCTCAGTGTGCTTTTTAAAAAATATCCTGACTAAAGCTATACCTGAAAGACTTATTAGCTTCACAGTACCAAACCTGTTGAAATGATTGGTTTATTGTACACCTTCTTGAATATCCAAGAGATTTAATACCACTGGACACACGTGAATATCCAATAAAGACTCTCATATGCATGCTTCAGCATCTAAAGCCCCTTATGGGATTGAGACCATGAATATAAAAGTGCATGGTGTGGCATTTTGAAACCTGTTTCTGGAATGTGCACCTGTGTATATTATGATTCAGCTCCGTTTACTAGATGAGACCAGACAGTGGTTTGGGAAAATTTGTATTCAATTCCCCTTGTGACTACACCACAAATATATTAGTGAAACCATCTGACTTACAGAACATTCTTTAGCATGTGTTCTAATCAGGTTTCAATTTCTTGATTTTGAAGTTTCATTGAAAATGTGAATAAATACAAGATTAGATGCATGTGACCTGGAGACTTTCATGTTCAGCCAGAGAAACACAAAGATATAGAAAGAAACAAAACAAAGCAAAAGGAAAAAAAAGAACAAATGGAAGAAAATATTGTGGTACCTTGAAGACTAACTGCTATATTTTAATGTGAGCTTTTGTGGATCACATCTGTTTCCTTAGACATAAGAGTGAGACTAAATGGCAAATGTTTACATAGGTCATATGGAAGTCCTTATTAGATGTTTGCATGTGTTTCCAGTGGTATTAGATCACTTGATTATTCAAGGTGTACAGTAAAATCAATAATTTCAATAGATGTGGCAGTGTAAAGCTAATAGGTTGGTAGGTATAGCATTAAAATATAGCAGTTAGTCTTTAAGGTATCTTCTTTGTATCTTTTGCTTTGTTTTGTTTCTTGTCTGATAATGCTTGTACAGACTATCATGGCTCTCACTTTTGAAAAACAGAAAATATTTCAAGATCCCAAGATACTGAATATCTACACTGTAGTTGCTTGCTCTGATAATAAAGCAGCAAATGTTCAACATTACATAGTATGCTAGCTTTAAATTTTTTTCTGAAGTTTAAAATTTGAATTGAAGGATAAAGCAATGCATTTTCACTGTGCAAATGACTGTGACAGAAATGTCAAAAAATGCCTCACTGCACCTATGTGGCTTTTTAAAAAGCTTTCAGTATACCTACTGTAATTAAAGAATTGGCACTGAAAGGTTTTGACTGACAACCATTGCAGTGCAAAGCGGCTTGCACAAACTTAGCAATATCCACTTATGCCCTAGCAACACTTCTTTTTCTTTACTCTGTGGGTTCATATACCACTTGTGCATTCTCAGGCTGAATGGAGCCCACCATCCACATATTGTGGCTTAACAGGTGCTTGATTTAAAAAAATCCCGGGGATTTTGCATACTGAAAGGGAAGCAAGCACACACACTACAGCTCAGAATATTCAGGGCTTTTGTCATCTATACAGATGACATATCATTTAGTTTAAATTTGGGAGCCATTTCAGTATCCTCCCCCTGGCAACCATGGTCTAAAAAGATCATCTTCTTCCATGTCTGCCCCCCTTGCCAGCTGAGGTGAAATGGGTGGACGGTTGTAAAGAGGCCCCACATAGAACACTTTTTTCCAGAAGCTTTCCTAATGGCCCCATCTTTGCGGTGAAAGATAAGGGCATTTTTATGTTTCCGGAATATCTGAATATCTTATTACAGCGGAGTTGATGGTTTTAATGTTGTTAATCTGTTGTTTCAATTTACTGTAAAAATTAGCGTCTTATATTGTAAGTTACCCTAATTATATTGTAAAATATAAATACAACATATATGATTTGTTCTATTGCTGCTACCTAAAATTACACAGCAATGCTGAAATATTATCCTGCTTCAAAGCTGTGATTGTTTTAACCAGGTTTTTGTAATAGTTGTTGTGTGTTTTTTTAAGGAATCCCCAACAAATAAGCTTCTCTATGCTAAAGATATTCCACTTTATAAAGAGGAGGTTAAAGCTTTCTATAAAGCAATAAAGGATTTGCCTCCATTGTCCACTTCGGAAATAGAAGATTTTTTGACTCAGGAATCAAAGGTATAATTTATTCATTTTACCCCTGTGGTTGACATTTAATCTCTCTGTACTGAGCAGATAACTGTAACACTTGGTATGCCTTTAAAGTACAGTAGTGCCTCGCTTAACGATTGCCTCGCTTAATGAGGAAATCGCTGTACGATTAGGTTTTTGCTATCGCTTTTGCGATTGCAAAACGATGGTTTAAATGGAGTTTTCTCATTTAATGATGATCGGTTCCCTGCTTCGGGAGCTGAGTTTCACTTTATGACGATCAGCAAACAGCTGATCGTCGGGTTTCAAACTGGCTGCCGGCTGAAGAAAGTGGCCCTCCGCTGTTTTCTAGGAAGGATTCCTCGCTTTACAGGCACCGAAAATGGCGGCTCTTCGCTGGATGAGCAGGTACTCAGCCCATTGGAACACACTGAACGGTTTTCAGTGCGTTTCCATGGGTTTTTTAATTTCGTTTGATGATGTTTTCGCTCTACAGTGATTTCGCTGGAACAAATTAACATTGTCAAGTGAGGCACCACTGTACCCTGTTTTGTTTTGTCTGGAAGACAAAAATTGGCCTTCTTAACAATGTGATTGAGAAACATCCCAGTGACCTATTTCATACCCAATAACCTGAACACACATAAATTTTGCAACAATTCACACCTTCCATTTCAATTTTGTTGTTTATATTCTATTAATACTAGTTGTTATCATAAATATTATCTGCTTTTTTTTTCAGAAACATGAAAATGAATTTAATGAAGCAGCAGCCTTGACTAAAATTTACCAGTACATATCAAGATATTTTGATGAAGTACGGTTCTTTCTTGCTGTCCCCAGTCCTTTCCTTTCCTTAATTTACATAAATGATAGTACTACAAGCTCTGTTATTTGCATTTTACTATTATACTTCATTTGCAGCAGTCATTCATTTGGCATTGAATGATTGGAGCTTATTTAATGGGGGGTAAATATTCAAGTAACTTCTGAATTGCTCAGACAACAGAATGGCTCTATAGTTCCTAGAGAATATACATTTGCGGCCACAGATGTGTCACGTTTCAATTAATAGTATATGCAAGAGCCTTTGATTTAACTACTTTTTCCCCTCTTTCTCTTTTGTACTCTTATATTCTTTCCTGTGGGAGCAAAATCACAGTTTACCTTTACATTTGCCTTAGTAGACTGTGATTTACACTTGCCTTTTTAAAAAAAATACTGCAGTGTGATTCCCACAATTATGGTTCTGTGCAACAGTGCATGTGCAAACAGTGGCTCACAACTCTGATTTAAAAGAAGAATGAGGATTTGCCACTTGGGATACAGCACACAAAAGAACTGGTATTCTAGAAAACTGCAGAATGGGAGTGGGGGAAAAGTCCAAACTATGTTAAAATAATACAAAATGTGAATTATTCTCCCCCAGATAGCTATTGTCACATTATACTAGATTTTTAAAACCTTTCCAATGCTATTTGCATATAATATTTATGATAAAGTACTTTCTCCTTTCTTAAAAGAAGGAACAAATAAGGTTATTAAAATAAATGTGTGGATGTATATACAGAGACAGTTGATATATAGAAGTAGAGCAAGATAAAATGTACCACATTTTTTCCCATGTATAAGATGCCCCCATTTATAAGACACCCCCTACTTTTCTAACCCAAATGTCTTTCTTTGCAAGAAAGTGGAGGGGAAAGGCAGTGGTCAAAGTGCTTTGATTCCTGCTTTCCCCCTCTACTTTCTTGGGAAAAAAGTGCTTTCCCCCTCCACTTTCTTTACAAAAAGCTGCTTTCCCCCTCTACTTTTTGCAAAGAAAGTGCTTTCCACCTCCACTTTCTTTGCAAAAAGCTGTTTTCCCCCCTCCACTTTTTGCGAGGGGAAAGCAGCTTTTTGCAAAGAAAGTGGAGGGGAAAGTACTTCTCAAGAAAGTGAAGGGGAGAGAAAAATCGCTTTCCTCTTCCACTTTCTTGAAAGTGCTTTCCCCCTCTGCTTTCTTTGCAAAAAGTGAAGGGGGAAAGCAGGGATCAAAGCATTTTGATCCCTCTCCCCTTACTACCATGTATAAAATGACTTTCAATTTTTCCTCTATTTTAGGAAAAAGTGGTCATTTTATATACGGAAAAATACAGTAATTTGTCAAAATTTAAACAAGTCAGCTTTACTTTGCATTTCAGGGTAAGATGGATAATTGGTAAGATATGGGAGACAGTCAGGATTGAGGAGCCTCATGGAGCTGTGGTTAAATTGCAGCCAACACTCTGCTCATGACCTGGTTTCAACTCCAGGTGGTTCACTCAGCTGCCTGTCCTTCTGAGGCTGGTAAACTGAGTACCCAGTTTGCTGGGAAGGGGTCATGTTTAGCCTGCATAATTCAATTGTAAACCACCCAAAGAGTGCTTTAAGCACTATGGGGTGGTACTGTATATAAGTAGCATGCTTTGCAGCAGCAGCTAGAAAAGGGTGCCATGCAATGAGAAGATATTAGGAACCCAAATTAAATCTGTATTTGGTTGGGAGCAAGTTTAATACATGTGTTGAACCATCTGTCTAAATTCTAAAACATTTTTCAGCTCAAGTAAGCTTATTTCCATGGACTGTAAATCTTTGCCATCTCTTATCCCGTCACATAGTTTTTAACCCCATTTTCTGTGCCTCAGCCAGGTATGATTGATGGAGCAACTTGATGAGAATGATCAAATCAAGGCTCATTCATTCAACTTGGTCTGCATGTTGAAATGTTTCAGATTTTGTATTTTGCCATTTTTACTTATCTAGAAAGGAACTGATGTGCTATTTGACATGAAAACTGCCGGATAGCTCAGTGGTTTAAACATGGGTTCAGTTCTCCACTGTCTCTCCATGACAGAGGCCGGATTTGGTGATCCATAGCATCTCTTCCAGCTCTGCAGTTCTAATATTACAGTATTATTATAAGTGGTGTGTGTGTGTGTGTGTGTGTGTGTGTGTGATTTTTATTTTTTAAATTTTTTTGCTTATCCTTTATTTCAGTGGGGGAGGCAGCTGATCAACATAGGGTTAACATAGCTAATCCCAACAAAAGTTATTTTATTTTTTATTTTTATTTTTGCTTATCCTTTATTTAAATGGGGGAGGCAGCTGCTCAACATACGGTTAACATAGCTAATCCCAACAAAAATGTGTTGGTGGTCCTTGTACACAATCTGAAGATAAATGTGATACTTTTATAAGACCACTTAACGTCTCACAAACAGAAGCCACCTCCAGCAATCTTAATTGGTCTGGGCATTACAGAGCTGAGGCAGTGCAGTAGAGAGACAGAATCTCCAAAAATCATGTCCAGATGTACAGGCATTTTCCTTTCTTTAAAGCAAGTTACAATGAGAGGACTGTAAGGTCAATTTAGAGGTAGATTATAGATTTCACCTCTTGGGGTGTTCTTTGTGTTAGACAAGGAACTGCCGGACACTCAGCACCCCTCCCCTATTAGACAGATTTTAGTGGTCTAAAATTATCATCTGTCCTTGTCTTCAGATAAGCTTGCTGCTGTTGAACTTCCATTTACTCAAACATTTGTGGATTTTAACAGAGGTTGCTCTTTTCAATGGAACTGTTTTTTTCTGACTGATAATGACATGTAAAACCAGGTGCAGAAATAGCTTGGTGTTATTAGAAATGGCTTGCGTAGGGAGAGCTTATTCTGATATTAAAATAATGTGCTAAAATTCTTTGTTTCCATAGATACTGAATAAATTGGTGAAAGAACGAGGGCTGGAAGAAGTCCGGATGCAACTTCTGAATATAAAAGATTTAATTGAAGAAAAGAAAAAATGCAAGTGGGTTTAAGTGTTCAGTGATCCCTACCTCTGATGGGATGAATTTTAACTGTGACTCTCACTGAACAGTATTCAGAATATTGCCTCAGTTCAGTTTTACTCACACGTAACTCGTAACGCAAACAACTAGTGACCTCAAATGGGAATGCACATTTCCAGATGCATCAAAAGATACATCCCATCAGTTCAGTGGACCCTGGATTAAGCATTGGCAGATTATGCAGACAGATGCACGTTGTCCTAATGAAAGACCATTGTCATGTGCAGATTTGCCTTCCAAGAATGAAGGTACTGAGTGATTTTGGCATCATTTTAACCACTTTTACCACTTATGAATTTATGGTTCTTTTTAAAAAGGCCAGAACCACTAAATGCAATGAAGCAATCTGCTTGCCTTTTATTTTTGCAGCAGTGCTGTGTATGTTATGATTTGCCAAAATTTGCACATACATTTTACAGGCTCCTACTGCTTGTATTCCACATGCAGAGCCTTTAAGGTAGCCCTAAAGCTCACAGGATGCAGTGCTAGAGGACCTGAGATCACCTTTTAAAAAAAAAGATCTTAGATCTTTGGAGGGAGGAAAGGTGCTCCTGTTTGCTGCATTAATTTGTCTCCAGATGTTTATAACAAAATTAAAATAGAAACTGCACATAAATAAATAGAAAAAATCCTTACCTTAAATTTTACATACATTGGCAAGTTTATGACATAAGTATAATATATGTACTATACTATCTCCTGCCATACCACCACACGTCTTCTGTCAATACAACACTGCAAGCTGGAAAGTCATTCAGGAACCAAATCTCGCAAGCTGGAACAGCCATTAACACCATAGCATTTTTCTACAGAAAAAGTAGGTTTTGTCTGTTATCAAGCTGAAAAACGTACCCATTGAAACATGTGAAATGTAAGATTGCTAGCAAATCCAGAGTTGGCTAACCAAAGGAAGTTGTTAGTATGGATTTTAAAACTACTGCTGTTGGTCCCCAACCCCACACATTTTTTGGGGGGGGTTAATGTAAAAATGTGTGTAATTGTGGGAATGTGTGTATAGGACACTATGCAGGATCTTAAAAATCCTAATGATCACAAGAGCTACTTAGCTGATGTGTGTGGATAATCTTTAGGTGGCACTTTGATAGTGTACAATGTTTAAAACATCCATTCATCTAAGCAAAGACCATGAAAATAGCAGTGCAGTTTGACTTACAACTTCCAGATTTGGTAGACATCTGATCTGAGCAGTAGAGCTTTGAAAATTGTGTGTAGTTTCTACACAGCAGGTACAGAAAAAGAAGAACTGTCATTAAAACAACATTTTGTTAGGCTAGTTCTTACATAGAGAACTAGCCTATGTTCTCTCCAAGGGGTGCATTTATTGGCCCAAATGCTGTTTGTAAATGTGTCATGTAATGTTGTGCTGTCATAAATAATACTGGGTGCTCTAGCAGTGAGGACTGTGCAAGTCAAATGCACAAATGGTAGTGCCATTCCTGTTCTGATCAACTGCACAGTGTGCTAAGTGGAAGTGCTTTGTGAATAATATTTCCACCTTGACATGACTGCAGCCACTGTGGTTATAATGCTAGTTACACTTGCATATCTACCCAACAGGATTTCAACCATTTTTAAAGAAGCAATATACATTCATTCTACAAGAAAAGCACCGTGGCTATCTTAAAAGCACAAAAATTATAAATTTTATATAAAATAGGCAAGTATGTATTTTTAAACCCATAGATCATTTGACCAAAACTTTCCAAGAGGGTTCTTCGAGTTAACCAACTTTAGTTTATAAAAATAATGTGGATGTCACTGCAGCACTTGAAACTACTGCCTGTAGAATCTTTGACAGGTTTGAAACTTAGTGTATTCCTCTATTTAAAAAAAGAAAAGGTAAAATTAAATGTTTGTGGCAGTCTGCAGACAAAGTCACATCATAGTATCAGTATTGTTACCACATAAACCATTATGAACTTACATATGTTCATAATTTAAAAGTTCACCTGGCCGTGTACATGCAAAAATAATTCCTATTATGTGAAACATTTGTATAAAACATGTAAAAATGTAGATGGTTATTTACAAGAAATGTTTTCTATGTTTACAAGAAATATACAGTATTGATGTTTATTTAATTTGTTCACTTTGCAAGATGACTACATAGGAGCAACAAGTCATTCAAGTAAGCCAAAAATTGTTTACCAATGGCTCTTATCTGGAAATCAGTTTCTATACAGAAAACCAGCTTTGCAAAAAGAAAGCTGAATCTGCCTTTACTCACACAGAGAGGCAAGAAATAACCCTTTTTCCTCTGTGATTTCTGTTGTGGAAGATAGCAGGACAAGGCTATTGCACCATCAGGAAAAATGCTGGGAGAAATTTTATTGCAGTGAAGGAAATGAATAAGAAACTTACACAAAAACCTAAAGCAACAGCACCAATGAATTAACTGAAGATTGTACATATACTTTTGGAGGAAAAAAACTTTTGAGACAAAGGTTGTTTGGGGAATGGCTGAACCCGTTTGCAGAACATATGCCATGTAAGCCTAATATCATTTTCAGCTGCAGCTGTGTTTCATAAATGAAAAACTTCTTATCTCCTCTTAAGGTCCAAATACTCCCTTGGTATCCCTATTATCCTGGGGAAGCCATTGGAGCCGTGGGAAGAACTCTAATTTACGAAAGATGGCCACCCCAATGATGTCAGCCTTACACAGTTCTGTGAACAGAATTTCAGAGCATTGGAGAAGGTTAAAGCCAATTGAAACGAGCACCAAATGTACAGCAATCTCCTAGCTATTCCAGTGACTCCTAATTATATTCTTTCCTTCCAAACAAGACTGCAGCTTGAAACCTGGGTATCTATACACTGATAGTCTTCACCTTGAGATGAGCAGTTGCTTGAAAGATCAATTTTCAACACACAGTTTTGAAACATCAGTGTACTGTATTTAATTTCCTTCTTTGACAAGAGCTATCTACAGTATGGCAGGAAGGGTGTGATCCACCTTTTGCTATCTGCCATCACTGCTATGGAACGTGGAAAGCTATTATGTATCAGGAAGAGTGTCTAGAACTATTAAGCATGTTCTTAGGTAAAGAATCAACTTCCATTTTGTTACTTGATTTTTTTCAGGCAGAGAACCAAAGGATGAATGCTATTAAACTCTGCACCTGAAACATGAGAAACCAATCATATCTCAACACATATTCTCCATACTGCATTAAGAAAAAAAATGGAGAAAACAAAGCAATTTGGTAAATTACTGAGGAGTGCAGTCAATTTTACTTAGGCATGGATAAGAAAATCTAGGAATCCCCACTTAAAGCTCTCTGACAAAGCTGCTGTAATTGAACACACAACAAGGAAGCAGATTTTATAAAAATATATTATAATAAACATATGATCAGTTAAGAAAAACATTTTGGACTACACAAATATCCTGTATAAAAGTAAAAGAAAATATTCACACATCACTCACAATCATTATAAAAGCTTGTTACTTCTCTTGAGATCCCAAATAGTGTATTAAAGTGCAGATAACAAAATTCCTCACAAATACATGGACTGCTATTATGAAAGTTCACTTGGCTTCACAATCAATAGTCAGTATTCAAGTAATCATGTGATTTAGTATTTTTAACTGCATGATGCCAGTCTCACAGTCCCAATATTGATGAAAGAATGAAAACTATGCCTCAAAAGAGAAAAGGGGGATTTTCTTAAGACCAAAGCTTTCTTAAAGGTTCGAGGAAGGTCTCGTTAGAGAAGCATTTTAGTGCAACATGATTATCTTTTGTAATCTAAAAAGTATACTTTTTTTCAAACAACAATTTTATTCGCATTAAAATCTTGCTATATGTTGGGAGGTTTTTCCCCCCAATCTAGAAAGAATACCAACTGATTCAAAATAAAATTTAAGTTTTCATCCCTTTCAAGGCACTCGTACATGTGAATGCTTCTGGCAAATGATGAAAATTCCTAGTGCTTTAGCGTTTCACGTTTATTTGGCATCCCCGGATAGTAAGTCATATCCTTCAACAAGCTTATCTTGATCAGAGTTCGAGTCAGGACTTACTGCCAACTCAGGACGTTCAGTAGAAGCACCAAGTTCTCGCAATTGTTTTCTCTGTGTAGTTTCGAGTTCTTCCAGGCGCTTACGAAGCAGGAAAACCTCTCTTTGATGTTGTTCCTCCTTGAACCAAAGAAGATGATACATTACATTACCCATTCATAAATATATTCCCTATTGCAGACACTTTCATTCTTTTCTTCTACTTGTACTTTTCCAGCTTTCAATAGTCCAACTGATTCTACTAGAGAAATAGGCAGCATACACTTGAACATGGACAAGTTAGTCAACATCTTGTGCGCTGCAGCTTATTTCTGTATTCTACTGGCCACTAGTAGAATGCCCATGTACAGCTTAACACCAAACTTTCATAAGACCTGAGTAAATGAACATAGAACTCTTAAGATTTTAACCAGGGTGGATTAAAATCAATTATTTTTTTAAAAAAATTAAAAATCAGATTTAAAAAAAATTAAGTTTATTTTAATGAAATGCTTCTGGGGCATAAATATCTAAACGTAGTTTTCTATTTATGATACCTTATGGTTCAAAGGTTATTCAGCATAAAATAGAACTTAGTTATGTAGCATGAACCTGTATATTCATGCAATATTTAGATTTTTGGTGAACATATTCAATTCAATTTATCCAAGATGAGATAACATACACTTTTTCACAGTGAAAATGGTATACAATGAACAAAGTTCAGGAAAAGACCTTAATCCCATTGTTGTTCTGAAAAACTATGTACAGTGGTGCCTCGCTTAGCGATCGCTCCATTGAGCGATGAAATCGCTTTGCGATGGACTTTTGGCCATTGCTGGAGCGATCGCTTAGCAATGGCCTCTATGGCTAAAATTCGCTTTGCGATAATCGCGGGGGAGCTGATCGGCGGTTCCAAAATGGCCACCGCTGTTATGCCTCGCTGTAGAGGCACCCAAAATGGCCGCCGCTATGGAGGAATTTTGCTTTAAGGTAAGTTTTTAGCCCATAGGAACGTATTAAACGCGTTTTAATATGTTCCTACGGGCATTTAAAAAATCCCTCAGCGATCAAATCACTTAGCAATGTTTTTTCCTGCACAGATTAACATTGCTAAGTGAGGTACCACTGTACAACCAATGAACACACTGATATTTAAGCAAATAGAATATATATGCTATATGTTATTGTTTTATTTAACTAAAACGATTTAAGTAGTTCTCCAAATATGAGTGATTAACCTAGTAAACTAAAATCTGTTCTGACAGCTGTTTTACTAATCTGGCAAGTTATTATTCTTAATATGAAATCTTCATCTGGTTGTAAATATTAAAAATTGTAACTACCAGCAAGAATGAGTCTTTATATTTACAAATCATGATTTAAATTGAGTTCCTACTGACTAGTGATTTAAATCATGACTGAAATCAAATCCACACTGATATTAACTGATAACCTAGTCAGGCTGAAATTTAAAGTTGGGTGTAATCAGTCCTCTGCATCACCAAAGATGCTTTAAGGGTTTTTTTTCTTTTGGGACAGCAGCTCTCCACAACACGCAGCAAAGTGCTTTTGACTTTTATAAGATGTATATGGTGAGGCAAGAAAGCTCTGAAGAAGTGATGTGATGAGTCTCATTGAACATGAATAAGATACTTCTTTGTGCTCTGGGTTTATTACTGAAATTCATACCCTTCACATGTTTTTATATCAAAAAAATCAGATAGATTCACCAGTTAAGCTTTCCAATACCCATTATTAGAAATTTGTTTGTTTTCTCCAATGAAACCACATCTGTAAGATGCCACCTGCCTGCAGAAGAGGAAAGGATGTCTCTGGTCCAGGAATCAAAGTTGAAGAGAGCAGGTTGACTGGATTTACTGTTGGGATGGTGGGAAACAGAATTAACCTGCGAAATTCATTGTGTCTGCGCTGCAAATCTTTGAGTCTTTTTTGAAGGCGAATATGTTCTTCAAAAGGAACATTCTGCCTGGAATAATAAAAGGATTTCATGGGGAATTCCAGCACAACATGTTAAAATGAAATGTTACTTTCTTCAAATTATGAAAACCAGCATCTCCACATTCTGAAAATGAAGCAGCAAAGTTTATCCAAGAAGTGATGCTTTTTAAAATATTGATAGAAATTGTATCTACAATGCAATTCAAGTCACTCAACATCTAAATATACCTGTTTAGCACCTGGTTTTCAGTTTCCAGTTCTTCTCTCTTGGCTTCCAAGAGTTCTATTTTCTTCAGCAGTTTCTTTTGCCTATTGTCATTAAGTGTCTTTCTCTGCAAATAATGCAAAAAGTGTGTATTTTGAGAAATATTAATTTCAGCTAACCCACAATGAAAACCTTCCCTTGGATACACTGAGTGACATGCCTTTTTTTGAGCAACTGCTGCTCGGTGCAATTTTTCCCTTGTCTGGTTGTACTTCACTTCCATCTCTGTGATGCGCTGAATAAGTTTATGTTTTTCTTCTAGCCATTCTATACGCTTGTCTTCCAGATTTCTAATAGGGAAAACACAATGGTTGCTTGCATATTAAGTTTACTTAGCAAGAGGACAGTGCAGAATTAATCACACAGACCAGGCATGGACAAAGTGAGGCTTTGAGGTTTACCAGTATTCTCAGGTAAAAAAGCCCCTTTCCATCTACAGGCACTGTCCCAAAAGATATATACTTCTCCACAAACATTAAATTCTGTGGCAATTTGCAAATGTACAAGGAACCCTAAGCACATCTGTACACCCTTTGGCCCCATCACACCACTACACACTGCCCACTGCAGAGTATGGCAGGTCCTGCATGGGGGAGGCCACCACAGAATATACTCCCTTAGTATTCCCTAAAATCTAGCAGGAAACGCTGTGTCTTCAGCTAACTAATCAACATTCTCAGATAAAAAGAAAAAAATACAGTTCCTTTTCATCTACATGGACTGTTCCAGAAGATAAATACTTTACCAACAACATTAATTTCTGTAGTGAATGTAGTACACATTTTTCCATCAGGTAGAATGCAGCCTAGGTTCTTCAAAACAAGAGGCATTAAGATCAAAGGTGGAAGTTCCAAAGGATATATGCGTTAAATTTTTAAATTATTTTTAATTTCATTAAAAATCTTCAGGTACGAAAGATTATCCAGTTGAAACATGGTTCTACAGCTAAAATTGCATGCAAAAGTGAGCTGTGCCTATGCTCGTGCGAATGGTAATAGAGCTTTTAGTATACTATAAAATGTGCATTAAGGATTTGAGGTGAGACAGAAGTCCATACCTAACAGGGAAAACAAAGAAGGGGAGGGGGAGGAGAAGCAGGTGGCAACACTACCACCACCACCACGGTCCCTTAAAGTTTCCATACTGTCTTCTGACTCCCTCACTCTGCAGTTGGCTCCTCAGCTTCATCTGGAAAGAAAGATTTTCCAGGGAGCACCTTGCCTCCGCAGTAATCTAGGATTACAGTTCTCCACCAATGTCCGTTGAAGCCATTTCCTGTTTGTCTAAATGTGGGACTTCATAATTTTATGCTCAATAGCTGGCAAATGGACTGGTGTAGGAATCGAATCAAGCTCAATTCCCCAACACACCTCATACACAAAGACTGAATTGTTCACTTGATCTGCACTTTCAAAAGTCCATAGGGCTGTAAGCTTACTGTCAACACTCCTTTCTAATTTTGAGCTTGTCTTTTGCTTTTGTTGCAATATACCCTGAGAAGAGTTAAAGCATCAGAAAAGATTATAAACATACAAATTCTATAAAAAGATAAATACTACAAATAGACAAGATGAAAGTGCATTAGTAATTGTAAGTCCATGACAGCTGTTCTATTCACAAAGTCATTGCTAGATGTTGCAACATCAGGTGATCAACGTGCCTCTGTGAACTCATCCCAGAGAACATTAGAACAGACATCTTTCCTCAAGAGTAACATTATAGTACAAACTTCTTTCAAACTGCATGGGACAGATGGTTTTCCTGGCACAGAAATTACAGATTTAGTTCTCCAATGTGTCTAATGAGACTCTGCCAGATTGGTGTGCACAGCAAAATATTTCAATTTTTTCACACATTTTAGATCAATTAAATCAATTAACAGAAAATTTTTATATAAGAGAAACATCTAGGGTAATTCATTTGCCATATAATTTTAAATTTTGTAGCAAGAGATATAAGTATAGTAGCATAATAAATAGCAAGGCTTACTTCTCTGAATCTAACTGAGCCTTTTCTGCTTGACTTCGTGCATTCCGATATTCTTGTTTTAATCTCTCCAGGATTTCCTTCAGTTTCTGATTGGAATCCATCAAGTCATTCTCTGATTGTGAAATTGAAGTCACTTGGAGTTGTAAACTATGGATTTGCTGCAACAGAAAGATATTTCAGAAGTCATTTGCAAAGCTCTGGAGTTTTGAAACAAATTTCTCCTACCACCCAGTTCTGGAAGTGCTATAAACCCTACATGGACATCTACAAAAGCTACCCATGGATTGCAGCAATTTACAGCCACGCTGTTGGCTTTACCACTTGTACTACATACACCACAATTCCAGGCACCTTTGACATGTTCTCACATTTAATAAAGGGACATCAAAAGGACTATCTGCTGGTATTCAGCTGAACATGGAAAGCCTCTCTGTATATTAGGGGCCCAGCACAATCAGGGGTTTGATCAACTGGAGCCCCTTTGCAGGTCTCCACATCCATCCCGTGGGCTTCAGGATGAGGCCAAGGCTAGGGGTGTACTTCCACTCCGCATTATCCCTGTTGAGATGCTACATACGAATAGTGTCTCCACAGGGTTACAGAATTACATTTCTCCACCGCTATCTGTTGAAGCAGGAAAGTTAGCATACACAAAAATTATTTTCTCCACTGGCATTTGCTTGAAACAACATACAGGGGATAATACTGTCAAGCAACACACTGTACATCTCAACAAATGCACTGTTATGACACTAGAGACACGGGGAATATCAAGAGAGCATTTTTTTTCCTTCCATATGCAAAAACCTACTTGGAGTCAGGGTCCTTCAAAGGAACTGATTGGCAGCAAGCAAGTGAAAGTACTTCATACAACACACAAACGTCTTGCAGAATTCATGCCACAAGATGTGAAGACAGTCACTTTAACAGAGGGATTGGTGTGATCCCTGAAGGCTGTTCGGAGGCTGCACTTCATATATTCCCTCAAGACATGAGAAGAGGGAATAGGGACATGTTTGGCTCTGCTCCCTGCTGCCTAGTCTTGATAGCTCACTTCCACATGCTGAGAACCAAATTCAACAAAAAGGAGGCTTCTTTACATTCTTAGGCTTCCAGGATAACTCACAATCTCATTACACAAGCCTTCCTGTGGCAGAGGTTCAGTACTAAACATGGATGCCTGCAGGACACACCCACTGGGAATGTAAAGGATGGGGCAGGCCCAAAAAATACCGCCTGGCATTCCACACTTGGGAGAGCAAATAAAGGAGAAATCTGAAATACGACTAGATAGGACAACCAGGTTCTAAATAGATCTCTGTCTTCAGAGGTGGCGTGCCCCTCAACGCTAGATGCTATGATATACAACAGGAGACAGCAACAGCCTTCACACTCCACTTGCAATCTTTCTGAAAGCGTATCGGGCAAAGCTGGTCAGCAGGGCTCTTTAGTTGTTTTAACTGAAATCCAAAACTGAAAAGTCTAAAATGTGGAACATTAGAAAATAAAACAAACCCCCAATATCTACTGGTTTCAGCTGGTACTGCCACAGCTCAACACACAGTAAACTACTCTGAAGAGATGAAAACATAATACCTTACGATGGTGAAGAACACTATAGGGAGATGTAAACAGCATAACAGACTCTTACCTGCTTTAGATTTGCATTTTCGCTTCTCTCTTTTTCTAGCTCCTCAGAATTGCTTGCTTGTTGCTGGAGCTTTAGCCTACAAATCAATACAAAGTGGAACTTTAAACATTTCTATAAAAATGAACCAAATACTTCTATAATACACTGATAGTTTCAAACTGAACAAAACCTGATCACAGCTGAAGAAAGCTCAGCTACGACATTACATTGTTCTTTGTGGATTTAAATTTATGATGGGTTCAGCAGAAGACTTTGTATAGAAATTAATTCTGGTATTTAATCAAGATAGAGTACTAATTGATTCAGTTGGTACTAAAATCACATGAGAACTGGTCTTCCAAAGTGGTGATATTGGGAATATCCTAGCTATTTCTCATTTTTTAAAAAGAGCAAAAATATTTAATAAAGACTGCAACAGTGGTGTTGTGTAGGTAGGAAGAAAAGCCCAACACATACTCTGAAAGGTGAATATGATGGCTGTGCAAGAAGCTGCATAGAAGTTAAGAAGGCAAAGGAGAGGCTTAAAGAAATGTCTGGAAACATTTTGGAGAAAAGGCGAAAATCGCCCAGTCCTGTCTTTTATCTTCCTATTTTTCCCTTTTATTCCCCATTTACCATCCAGAATAACGCTGTGGTGGTACAGGAAATAAATTTAAACATAAACAGAAATGCATTTCTGCAAAAAGAAGCATTTTTGCTCACTTTACATTCAAACAACTAAGTATCAAAGTCTGTGGTGATCTCTGTAATAGGCAACAACACTTCATGTCAGAGTGAAAAACATGAAGATGAATTTAACGTTAGTCCTAAAAACAGCAGGACTGGGTGATTTTCACCTACTGAAATCAATGAAGCTCAAGTTATTTGTAACCAATTTGCCTCCATGGGTCTACTCTAAGTGGGGCTAACATTAGATTTACCCTTCCATTCCAAACACAATCAAATTCCAGCATACTACCTAAGATTCTCAATTTCCCTTCTGCTTGATTCTTCTGCTAACCGCATTGCCAATAACTTCCCTTCATAGTGATCTTTTTCCGATTGCATCTGAGCTTCTTGTTCTACTTTCATTTTCTGCAGTTCAGCCAACTTGTTCTCAAATTCTAACCTGAAACATACAACATTTCATTAGCAGTAAAAATCAGCAGGTTTTGTATTTTGTAAATCATTAACAGCTCAGACACTGACCCCTCCCATAAAAGCTGACAACATGCAAGAAACCATTTACTGTATATGCTAGTTGTCTACTATTTGAACACCTTTCCTTGTTGCCTGACATAGCCTCAGAGTATTTTAACAAACATTCAAAACTGAAATGTCTAGCTATTATGGGCATTTTCTTGAACAGGGAAAGAAGCATTTGAAGATATGGAAGCAATACGTGTGATACCTTACAAGAACTCTGTACACTGAAAGTGTCAGTAACAATTTCACAGCTGAGACTGAATACATGATGCATACAGAAGAGATGTAAATCTGTATTTGCACCATTCTCACAAGGCAAAAATAAAGAGTTGAAAAATTATTTTCCTCAACAGTAAGGACAGCAAGGAATTTCCCAGGGCTTTCAACTGATTTTTCCCTTTGATCAAAATAATGCTTTTTTTTTGGGGGGGGGGGATGTCTATTTTTGTGCAAAACTGCATGATTTATAAATTGTGTGAACTACCTAAAATTGAGATGATCACTGCCTTATTTAAGAGTTCGAAGCACTTCACTTACTGTGTAAGCATGTGCTCCTTCGCAGAGAGAAAGAAAAATAGAAATATTTTATGCAAATTACAAAGACCTTGGCAGGGGTGGGGAGCTCTTTGTATCACTTTCGGCTAGAGGCAAGGAATCTCACAAAGCTCTAAAATTCTGCATCAAATTATTTCATATCATCATGACAGCCCAAATTGGTTGCTACAGTCTCTTAACATTTTTAAAGAGCTGCGTAAGAAAAAAGAACAACAAAATATTTACTTTTCTTCTTGTAATGCCACAAGTTTCTGGAAGCCATCTTCTTTTGCAGCTTGTACTTTGCGCACTAATTCACGATCCTTTTCTACTATCAGCACTTTGTGTTGCTCAAGCGTTGCCTTAAGTATTTCATTATCTGAGTGTAACCCTGTTTGTACACATTCAAGACGTTACTATTCAGCATTCCAATTATACAGAGTGTTTGAAATAGCTGAAAATCCTTAGGCAGCAGTTGAGAAAACAGTCACATAGTTGACAGTTTACTGCTCAAGATTAAAGTGCAACTTAGGCTACAATACTTTAGCGATTTCCTCCATAAAAGTTTCAGATGAGACTTACAAATTTCAGTGGGACATCAATTTAATGAATTTAGAACCAATTACACAAAACAGTAACACTCTTTAACAGAAGAGTACTTAATACATATTTTATGCACATGTGCCTCTTTTTTAAAGAGACGCTTACACCCAGGTAAGTGTGCACAGGATTGCAGCCAAATTCCCACTTGTTCCACTGGGAAAATTAAGCTTCTGTTTAGTGTTCTCTAGTGGAAAATAATGATATTTAAAACTAAACTTCTAGTAGGTTGCATGTATACCCAGTGTGGTGTAGTGCAGTGGTCCCCAACCTTGGGCCTCCAGATGTTTTTGACCTTCAACTCCCAGAAATCCTGGCCAGCAGAGGTGGTGGTGAAGGCTTCTGGGAGTTGTAATCCAAGAACATCTGGAGGCCCAAGGTTGGGGACCACAGTGGATAAAGTGATGGACTAGGAATCTGGAGAACAGGGTTCAAATCCCTCTTCAGCCATGGAAACTCACTAGGCGAATGGAACTGGTAAAACTACTCCTTAAATATCTCACTTACCTTGAAAGCCCTATTAGGGTCACTATAAGTTGGTTCCAGCTTGACAGCACATAACAACAGGTTGCACTTAATACAAACTTAAGAGGGCATTAATGGAAGTACAATATATAGAGAAAAATGATCATGAATGAACGCTTAAGATACTACACTTTTCATTTATGAAAGTGGTTCTACATGTCACTCAGTGATGAGGACTATAGTGTGGAAACACTCTGAATACAGTGGACCCTCAACGTATGCACGGCTCGACGTGCATACTTTTCGAGGTACGGACTTCTCTGGCCACAAGATTTCCAATCGACTTGCGGCCGGAGAACCAACCTATGGACCAGAAGGGGGAGGTGGGGAAAGCGCCAAATTCAAATTTGGCGCTTTTCCCGGCTCTCCCTTCCAGTCCATACGGATGCCTTCCAGGGCTTCTCCGCCACCCTGGGAGGCCTCTCGGAGGTCCGCTGCTGCCACGGATCAACCCTCTGAAGCATGATCGGTGGCGGGGGTGGACCTCCGAGAGGCCTCCCAGGGTGGCAGGGAAGGCCTCTGTGATGGCGGCAGCAGGGGACCCCTGGAAGGCTTCAGAAAGGTAAGTTCTATTTATTTTCAAAATTTGTGTGTGTGTGGGGGGGTGGTTTCTTGGGCAGGTTACGGATTAAATGGTTTTCAATGCATTCCTATGGGAAATGCATTTTCAACCAACGGACACTGTTCCAATATGGATTAATTCCGTAGGTCAAAGGTCCACTGTATATTTCCTGTTAAAATGTTGTGAAATGTTGTGTACTGTAGGGGAAGATCACATTAAAATTATATAAACACACCCTGGATTTAGACAGAAGCTCTCCCTGAATTCAGAATTACTGCTGATATCTCCTGGTCCTCTGTATTAAATGTGAAATTTCAGTTCTTCCACACTCCCATACAAATCTGCTGCACAGTGATGCCTTAAAATTCTGTGCTTGTAACTGATGGTTATAAAAGTAGTTAGTGTTGAAGTTTTAAAAAATTACCATCCATTTCACTTTGAATCTTGTTCTTTTCTCTTTCTATATCACTCCTAGCTTTTGCCGTTTCCAGCTTGATGTTGGTTATTTCTAACTTGTGTGAATGCTTCAGTTCTTCTACCTATTAAAAACATATAATCCAATTTCAATTTTGATCAAAATAAATTTTAGATATTTTCTATTCAGCAGACTCATAAAGAAACTCAGAAACTGTCTATATAGAACATGGAATTCAGTTACTAGGAGCATCCATGCTCCTTTTGTGACTGCCTGGGAAGCTGGATGATCAGACAGAGGTCAGTAGCTGCCCAGACCAAACAGACAACTCACACCTTCAATTTATCTCCTGTTAATGAACACTTCAAAGAAAGGACTTTATTAGAAGGCATACCAAAGAAGCCCAAAAGGAATCTAACACTTTCAGTTGAATGCTTGACTTGAAAAAAGCCAGCCCACTTCCTTCTCTGAGTTATGGAGATGCAACTGCGAGAAAGGAGGGAAAATGCCTTTGTTCTGAGGGAACATGAATGGGGATTAAGATGGTGATTGCAACAGTTGTACGCAAGGGATTAGGAAAACTGGTTAGATGGCTTAGCTTGCCTCTCAGGAGAGAGCTTTTGCACATCTGCTATACTACGAAGCTGTACTGGGAAAGGATGTACTCCATGTTTGTCCCAGATCCAAGCTCCCTCTTTGCTAAGGTATGAATATTAGATAGATAAGTTTAGTTTCTGTTTTCTGGTGTGATTTTCTTAAATTGCCTGAGACTATCTTTATAATTTTCTACATGCATCTTTTGCAACTTTTGTGTAACGTTTTGGAACTTTTCTATTTCATTAAAAAAGATCCTTTCAAGCATCTGTCTGGATTTTTGATTGAGAGGATTTGTGGTACTAAAACCAGGTCTTTCCTTGATGTGGAAAAATCCTTTCCCTCTACCTCTCCTCACATAGACAAATGCTAGATTTCAAACAGATGCCAGTGTGGCAGAGCATAGCTATGTTTGCTACTCTGGAACTTTTCAAAGGACAAATTAGGATTACTGTTAGTCAATAGGAACAATATACAGTGGTGCCTCGCTTAGCGACCGCTCCATTTAGCGACGAAATCGCTTAGCGACGCTGTTTTTGCGATCGCAAAAGCGATTGTTTTGCGATGTTCTCTATAGGGTATTTTCGCTTTGCGATGATCGCAGGGAAGCGATCATCGCAAAGCCCCCATTTTTGCACAGCTGATCGGTGGTTTCAAAATGGCTGCCGGGGAAAACCATGGCCATCCGCTGTTTAGGGACGGATTCCTCACTGTAGAGGCACCGAAAATGGCGGCGCTATGGAGGATCTTCGCTCAACGGTGAGTTTTAAGCCCATAGGAACGCATTGAAGGAGTTTCAATGCGTTTCTATGGGCTTTTTAATATCACAGAGCGACGTTTTCATTCTGCAGCGATTTTTGCGGAACGAATTAACGTCACTAAGCAAGGCACCACTGTACGTGGCCCTAGCAAACATGTTCTCCACTTATTAGCATGCCTTGTCTGAAGGTTTTTTTAATAGAGGATATATTTGAATATACATATACAAGTAGGCTAATCTCATATTTACCCAGCAAATATGATTTTCTCATATGAAAATCACATTTGCTGGGTAAGTCTAAACTGAGACTAGTCAATTTAGCATTTAATCAGTAATAGTCTCATTCCACCAGCCTCAAATCTAAAGTTATTATTATGTAACCTGAATTCTTAGGTATGTTTACTTTCAGTTATGACCACTGCTGGACAATGCAGCAAGTCTGTTCCAGCAAATCAAGAAGTGCTGCTATGTAATTGCTAAAATTATACATTTATTAAACTGGGTAATCAGATAACATACAATAGTGTTCTGGAAAGTCTAGCACTCCAGAGATCAAACCCTTTCAACGGTATTCTGAGTGCTTTAAGCAGAACAACAGAAGCACCCAGTTTGTTCCTCTCGCAGTGCTTATACCTTCTACAAGACAAGCTGTTACCTCAACAACATAGGCTTTCTTGCTAGAAAAATACTACTCTTCACTACATCATTAAATCATCAGCCCAGTATTATGGCGGTTGCTGCCATCATCCATCCTCTTATGTCACTCTAGCTATCTTTGGAAAATAAATTTCTTTATAAATCCAGCAAAGTATAAAACTAAATGGAGTGATCTCATTAAAACACAAACACACACAATCATTTTTTCAACAGCAAATCAAAACACTAAAGGAAATTATTGTCTGAAATGAAACATGCTACAGTTTAAGCTTTTCTAGCATGGTAATTACAGGGTTGGTAAGAATTAAGCAGCTAGAGAAGCAGCTCTTGCAACCCATTTGCAATGTCAGATGTAATCACAACCTGCTAGTGTGGAAACTGCAAACACTTCAGAATGATTTTTTAAAATTTAAATAAATGCTCCTTATTAAAATTTAAGTAACTACAGAAACATTTGGAATGCTTCTTTAAAAATGGGCCAGCTATATTTGATGTAGATTTACTCAATCATTCATGCACTGCAAAGATCTAACATACCTTCTCATATTCAGTTATGGTTCAGCAATGGTTCTTCCATAAAAACTTAACTGAACCACTTTTATATCACTGTCAATCTAGAGTTGAGAACCTCTTGGACATCATTTTCAGTTTTCAAATAACATTGATACCTAGAATGGGGCATTTCTCCTAACAGGTTGCTTTGTGTGTGACCCTTTTTTAAATTCCGTTCTAATTTGCAAAGCCCCTGTAGGCATAACATTCCTTGGAAACATCCGGTTTCTTAAGATGTCTGTTTTCTTCCTAGAGCCCTGACTCAACAACCCTAGTCTTTATATTACTCCACCAACCCTGACAGGCTTATTGTTCCACCCTAACGCAATATATATACATTGGCCAGTTTCTATTGTTACAGTCTTGTTCCCTTGCCATCAAAGAAGGCCATACAAGCAGATTTTACTTTGGGCCACGTTGGTTCCCTTCATTAGAGAAAGGTGAGGTATACTGTATGTGTGAAATAATACACATACATACTATTATTTTGTTATCAGAGTGCTTAGTAGAGATCTTATTTTGCAAATACAAGGCACAAGGTTTAGTTCCCAGCATTTCTAGTTCAAGACCGTGGGCACTAGATCTGGAAAGATTCTGCCTAAGAACACCAAGAGCCAGTACAGTCCAGTTCTCCAAAGATATGGCCCACTCCTCTACTGATTACATCGCTTCAGCCTGCAGACTTCACAGGACGCGATGACCTCCATCCATGGATCCTCCATCTAGATAAAGAGCAGGAGGCTGGGCTGGGCCCCTTTCCCCCTGAGGCTGAATATTCTATGTGAAACTCAGATGTTGTGTTTGGTATAGCATCTCACCACATTCTTGTCTACTGTCAGACGTAGTATAGCCAGAAAAATCTATTACAGGAAATTATGGTGGTGCTCTGGCACAGGGTAGCTTCTCTTCTTTCATAATAACAGCTATTAAATGTGACTTGTGGGTGTCGTTACTGCTTTAGAAAAGAGCTCCAATGAAGAAAATGCTAGGCATGATTTTGTGCCAACAGGAAGACTCAAGGACAATAAAGATATGATGGCTTTTCAAACTCTGAATTATGAAAAGGAGGAAGGAAAAATGAATTGAAAAAATATAGCTGTCTCCAAAACAATATTGGTGATAATGTTTTCTGTAACATCCTGGAAAACACTGTCTAGACATAATAAGAAAAACTTACTTTAGTAGTCAAAGCATTGATCTCTCGTTCAGCTTTATGCAGCTTGCCCATTAGGAGTGTATTTTGCTCGTTGCTCATCTGCAGTTCTTTCTCCACACACTCAAGCTGCAGCTTAACAGATTGTTTTTCTGCCTTAAAATGAAAAATAAATTGTTCAAACTGCTTGAGCAAAGTGATTCTTCAACTACTATCTTAAGTTTGTTTACAAAGAAGCAAAATTCTACTGATTTTAATGGGGATCACTCCCACTAATTAAGGAAACAAATATTCTGGTTGGAGTCTTTTGGTAGCATCACAGCACAAAATTTCACATCAACTTATTTCAGACTGAATGCTTTCTTTACATAAGGATGCACTTAACCTTTCTGTAGGCACTAGATTATAAAACAAAACAAGAGACACTTATATCCTCATTCCCTTAATACATTGACTGACTATTAATTTGATAGTGAAATGGAATCATAAAAAGTAACCAGTAAGTGCACAGTATGCAGCTGTACTGTATATGTGTGTGCGCGCACACACACACACACACAAACATGCTCTGAAAGGAACAGAACTTTTTAAAAATATGCTAAAATTACTTGACCAGAACAGGTAGGCTTCCAAAGTGCTAAGAGCACTTTGTGGAGAAGGAAAAAGAAGCAAAAGAAAGCAGAAAGATTGCACAAGGCTTTCCGGGAAGTCTACAGCTGAGCGCTGCTATGAACAGAAGCCCGCAAGTGCAAAGACGTCCGTTTGCCCTGCCAACTAACTACAGTTGCTTGTTATATCTGAATTGAACAATGTTTTTAGCATTACATTTAGTTCAGAGAAAAGACAACAAATTAATTGTTTGTAATTGGCTTGTTTTTCTGGCACTGATCACAGCTAGTTTCTCTTTCAAGAAACCACAATAACCTTAAAACTGAAAAAAAATCTTTCTGATCTCCTCACCCAGGAGTAAAAGAGGAGAATGCCCAGTTTTGTTCCCAAAGTGCTACATTACATTTAGCTTTATGTCCAAATTAGCTACAGAGTATTAGGATGTTACAGCTGAAAAATAAATGCTCATCTTGAGAAAAAGATAGGGAGAAAGCGGGAGCAGGAGACAGGTCTGTTTAGGCCATGTAAGGATCGGAGGTTTCGGGGGGGGGGAAGAGTAGATGTCCATTGAGGTAAAAAGAACCCTCTACTGCACTCTGTACAGATGGCTCCATTTCCAGAACTGCATCCTCTCCTCCTTGCCCACCACATACTGTACTTCCAAAACACTCAGCATACATGCTGACAGTCCAGCGTATGGCCACCATGAGAAAAGGGCTTCTTGGAAGGCATCTTTTCTCCTGAACTTCCTGCACTCCCTGCCATATATCTTATGGCATTTCAAGGTTTTTCCACATTGCCTAGAATTTTAAATAAGGATGTACAGTTGCACCATTACAGCTCCTACATCTCTTAAATGCAAGTGTGCATAACTGTGTGCCTGTCATTTATGCCCCACCCCATGTACAAATGAAGATATAGCAAATGGCCAAGATAATGGTGTGGGGTATAAATTCAATAAATAAAATAAATAATAAATAAAATAATGCTATTGAAGTAGCCCCCTTCTGGCCAAAAATAATATAATTATCTTAACATTTAAATTTCTTTTTAATATTATGTATATTTCATATATGGCCATAATTATAAATTGTGCAGTGCTCTGACACAAATAAAGACAGAAGAAAGAGTGTGGAGTCCAAAAATAATGGTGTACTTTCTACATATTAAGATCTCTGCACAGAACATAGATGAGCATCATCTGACCTTGCAGATAAGGGCTGTAATTCTGATAATCTCTCACAAGGCTATTTTGACTGAATTAACATGCATTTGCGGATTTAAAGAAATCTCTCTGTGTGTTACTCTCATACACAATATACACTCAAAGAAAGGGGCAACAAAGACCTGTGGTTATTGAAAATACATAGAAATCTGAGGTGGTCCATTGAGAAAAGGAAATTGGAAAATTTATGATGGCAGGACAGTGAATTGGTTTAATTAAGCCAGAAATAAATATGAAAAATATATTCAATGGGGAGATGTGGTAAGAGAGAAAGTTTGCTGTAAAGTTCAGCAGAATTAGTTTCTCTGCACTGTAGGGGGATGCCTGAGGAAGGGAAGAAAAAATGACAACATTCCATTTCCCATTGCCCTGGTTACTTCTCATATCATATGGCTATACACTATTGAGCTTTGGAACTTGCAGACAAAGTAACTTAAGCCGTATTGCTCTATACCACTCACAATGGGAAAGTGGAAAAAGAAAAAGAATGTTCATTTTGTCTTTGAACTGATTATCAATTGTTACTTTATTCCTTAGGATACAAAAAAATCAGACACCATTTTTATTTGCAGAGTCAGGATGCTTGCTAGAATATTAAAAACACAAGGTCCCTCCGTCTTCCACTTATAATCATGTACATCAAAAAGCCTTATTTATAAAATTCAACATTATACATTATCATTGGCACTATCATAATCTAACTGATCCTGTGAACAAACTGCCCATGTACATTTTATGTACTTCTTTGTAAGGAACCAAGCTTACCTGGGACTGGGAAAATTACACGAAAGAGACATAGCCAAATACAAGGCACTTTACTGTTTTCATAGCCTGCTGTGAGATTACATCGAGATCCAAATTCTTTACATTCACATACATACAGCAATGCACAACTTTTTGATGAGCTTCAGGGGGGAGAAAAAAAATCACTTTACCAACCTCCAGGGATCTTGTGGTAGCTTGCATCTCAGTTAACTGTCGCATCTGTATTCTTTGTATATTTTCTGCTTGCATGCCAGAATTCTCTTTCTGGGCTCTTAGTTCTGCTACTTCAGCTTCTAGTCCCTTCAGTTTCTGTTGTAGTTGGGTCTTTTCCCGTAATAGTTCTTCCACACGCTTGTGATCTCTTGTAGGATCAATACTATGCAGCTGGTTATGTAGTTCTTCTTTATCTTTATCCAGCCTTGCTATCTGTTAGTAGATGAATATAAAAATAATATGGGTCTAATGCAGTCTGAGAGTGGTCACGACGCTCACGCATTGAGGAATCCCATATGACTCAACTTTCCTCTCACCACCCCAAACAAGCCTATGTATGTGCTCAGGAAAGCATTACAGAAAATAAGTCCGATCTAGCACTTACGTTGCAGAATAACCTGCAAGTACAGACATACTGATGGCTGGATCAAAACAGGGGTGTTGCAAATGTACCTCCCATTTCATGCCATTATCCTGTGTTGACCTCTTTATTACCACATATATAGTAGAGAAAAGGAGTAAAAATATACTCAGCTCCAGGCAATGCACCTTTGGGTAACTGCATAAGGCCACAGGCATTTATAAGCACACTACCTTATAAACATGCCCGACCAGAAAATAAAATGCTAAGAAGTATCAGTAAAGGAATGTTAGTTCTCTATTTTAAATGGAAAATGTTAAGCCTTCAACCACTATATTATTAAAACTACCACAGTGCTTTGACACTTTGCAACAAAAAACATAAAAGAGAACTAATTGAAACATTGTATTCTGTCACATTTGATATCAGTCAGGAAGAAATGTCAATGCATTTTTATTTCAGCAGTAATTTTTGCTTTATTATGAATAGCGGAAGAAATAATCTATTTATTCAAAAACACAATAGCAACTGAATGCTGAAATGCTAGGCACTACCGTTTGATAGTAAGCCCACTAAACACAGAAACACTGATTTCTGAGTAAATACGCACAGGAGCATACAGTAAGTTGCACAGGTTGATGCATTTCTTTAAAAGTTTCTGGAAATTGAGGACATGAAGTATGGTACTTCCAATAGGACTCTAATACATCTCAGTTTATTTAAATTTTAAAAAGTATATTCAAATTCTGTTTCTTATGTTAGGACTTACCTCAGATTCATATTTTAATTTTGCTTCTTCTAAAATACGGATGTGCTCTGCTCCCTGGTGCTCATACTCTGATTTGAGGAAAGTATGTTCATAACGAAGTTTGTTATATTCTGTTCTATATTTTTCTACTTCCTAAATTAAAAAGAGCATGTGCGATTGAACTGAAGCAAAGTGATTAAGTAATATGAAATTATGCCATTATCTCCAGAATGGGCCAGTGCAACATTCAGAGTGTAAAACAATCATGTCAACAGTCGTGAACTGTTCTTAATGGATTTTAGTTCTGCTTCCAGAAGAATCACATGAAGTAGCGCAGGCCTAATCAGCTGCCTAGAGCTGCATCACCACCAAGAGTATTGCAGCTAAGCCCTGCTACCAGACACTGAGGTACATCTAGGCAAGCTTTGACTTAGTTGCCTTCCTAGTCATTTGTATTGCTCTCTGTGACTCCTGTAGGCCAAGAGGTTTTGTGAGGCAACAGTATAGGGTGGATGCTAGGCCTAGCCCTTTGCACCAGCCTAAAAATACCACCGCATCACTACAGAAGCAAACTATAACATATCAAAAACTAACAACACAGCACGACAATTATACAGTAACAACAAGGTATCTTAGAATGTTCACTTTAGGCACCACGTTTTATTCTAGGTATTGACAAATTAGAAGGGAATCTGAAGAGAAAGAAATATGATGAGTTAAGCAATCATGAATGCAAATCATACATGGAAAAGCTGTAAGACCATAGCATGCTGAGATTTTGGGGGGGAAAGACTAAAAAGGCTGGATAGACAATTGCCATTTAATGAAAACAGCTTTCTCCCATCTTACTTCATTCAGCTTCCGAAAGTGCTCTCTCATAGGTGTTTCCAAATCTTGTTGTATTTGTGTTTTCAGCAATTCTAGCTTCTGTGGTGTTATAACCTACAAGAGATGTCCAGGGGAAGTAACTAAGCATTTGCAATAAAGAACATGCTCAGAAAATAGATGGCACACCTTTCTATATATCCTGATATCATTTAATATTTGAACTGCATACTGTACATATATCCTGTTTCAGGATGCAAATACTCCAATATCACTTACTTACACTGCATGAATGCCTAAAGCACAGAACCTGTCAACAGATCAAAACTATACAAAGGCTAGTTCAACTGCTTAACTGACCGCAAGATTCTTCTCACCTGGCAATTGCCAAACTGTTTGAAGGAGAAGGAAAATACTTAGTAAGACTGCAATCCTTAACACACATACTTTGACATAAATCTTCTAACTGGAGTAGAACTCATATCTGAACAGAAGCACGTGATTATACTACATATTACCTACCTAAAAGCCTGATCTTAAGAGGAGACAACAGTTTGAACAGACTAGCTGTGTAATAATTCAGTGTGGAGAGCCAGCATGCTGGACTAGGAGTCAAAGATTCAGGTTCAAACTATTACGCAGCTGATTAACCTTGGAGCACACTAATTATCTCAAAGAGTTATTATGAGAATAAAATGGAATGAAAAAGAGGACAAAATGGGGGAAATAAGCTTTATAAGATACAAAAATCATTACAAAGGAATGTAATACAGTATCATTCCTATTTAATCAAAAGTGATTGTATTAGTCTAAATGTCTTATTGAAGAATTTATTGTATACAAACTGTGGTTGCCTCGTACACTTCTTACAGCTTTGATTCTTTTTAATAGCTTACTACACCTACTGTCTATCTGTCAGAGAAAGTGTGTCTGTCATCAACAAAATTAGAATACCAGAGGCAGTATCACAGGAAGCGTATAATTGCTCAGTAGATTTAATATTTTTCTTCATATGGCATGGGAAATACGATTTAAGCTGAACGCTTTAGTTTATGAACCTAAATTTCCCTGCAGGCCACTAACAGAAGTTCAAGCCATGTTCCCAAAAAACAAAATCCATGAAGCTTAATTCCATGAGTCCAACAGGCCCTTGGGATTTTTGGCTCCGCATACCTTTTGACAAATTACCAGGCAGAATCTTAAAAGTCTGTAATATAGTCTGGCAGTCCTATATTCCTAGAAAAGGTCACAAATCCCCACTGGTCTAAGCCCTTACTCCTCTACGAGACTAAGTAGCTCTTTAGATATCAGCAGTTGTCATAAAAAGTTTAGTTAAAATTGAAAACAGGAATTAAGAGCTAAAACATGAAGTATATGAACCAAGATAGTGCATAACATATTAATGCAGAAGTCTGACATTTATAAAGCCCACTCGAAAGACCCAGGTCCTCACCTGCAACTTTAACTCCTCTACTTCCCTATTTTTATCCAACAGTTCTTCTCTGACTTCAGCAAGCAGAAGCTGAAACTGATCATGAAGTGTTTGTTTTTCATGTAAAAGCTGTTTCAGCTCATTTTGTGATTTTGTATACTCATTCAAAAGCCTGCAAAAATAAATTCCAAAATTTCATTGTACATTATGACAATGCTCTCCTTTTTTGCTACTTTATTTAGCTATACAGTGGTGTCTCGCTTTACGATTGCCCCGCATTATGACGAATCCGCTTAACAATGATCTTTTTGCGATCGCAAAACAATGGTCTAAATGGGGGAATTTCGCTTTGTGACGATCAGTTCCCTGCTTCGGGAACCGATTCTTCACAAAACGACGTTTTTCTAACAGCTGGTCGGCGGTTTCAAAATGGCCACCCGGTAATTAAAATGGCCCCCCGCTGTGTTTAGGGATGGAATCCTCACTATATAGGCAGAGAAAATGGCCGCCGTATGGAGGATCTTCCCTGGACGGTGAGGTTTTACCCCATTGGAACGCACTGAACGGGTTTCAATGCGTTTCAATGCGGTTTTTTATTTCGCTTTACGATGTTTTTGCTTAACGGTGATTTTCCTGGAACGGATTATCGTCGTTAAGCGAGGCACCACTGTATATGCCGCTATCTGCACATCTTTTTCAAAGTATGAAAGAACAAGTCCCTAAATCAAACACCCCTCAGTCAACAGTGAAGATGCAGATAGCCATGGAAGGACAGACAAAATGGAAAAAAGATGGTGAATACTGCAATGAAAGAGGTTTGGGTAGCAGTTTAATAGATTTGTTTGTGCTAAAGAAACCAAGATGATTCATAGGAACAAATTATAACACTGCAGAACTACTGTGCACCCCTTTCATTACATTAATTCCATAAAGTCTCAGCACATCTCAAGAAACACAAGACAACAGCATTTCTGTGGCCACTTAAAACAAATCCAAATGTCAGATTTTCCACTGGGTCCTTTTTTTTAAAGGATTTCTCACACAATTCTGGCTATCAGAAATGTTTTAAGTCTTTAATATGTGTAAAACATAGGTTTTTCCCTCCTCAAAATGAAACAGAAACTAAGCATACTTTACCTTGTATGTTCTGCTTTTAAAGTTTGGTAATTGGTCTTATGATGTTCACATCGCATCCTTTCATCAATTAACAGTTTTTGCACTTCTGCTTGTGAACTAGCAAGATCGCCACTTTCACCCACGGGAGAAAGGATATTTGGCAAGGTATCCATTCTGACTGAATGCTAATGAGATGACAATCAGGTAAAAATGCTTTCAGCACAAGTCTGCTCCTGTCATAGAGACTGCTTTCTCTCCAAAGGGCATTCCCATGGGCCAGATTACCTTTGCAAACAAAAACACACCCAATTAGTAGTCCATGAACTCATGGTTAAAAGCTCTTATATGAATCCATGTTGCAAAGCTTTATGGTTCTTCTGGTAAGGTTAAGATCTTAGCTAAGGCTATATATTTGTACGTTTTAATCAGATGTAATTCTCAAATTTAATTTTTTATTTATTTATTTAACTTATATGCCGGCCACACTACTAATTAATCTGTTTTGAATTTCAGTTTATTAACCCTCATCCAGTCCATTATCAGGTCCAGACACAAGTTCAGCACAGAAATCACCTCACCTGGATTGGTGGAAAACGAGAGGTAGAGCTGAGTGTCGTCAGCATATTACTGACTCCTCAGCCTAAACCTCCTGATGACCTCTCCCAGCGGTTTCATGTAGATGTTAAACAGCATGGGGGACAGTATTGAGCCCTCAGGAACCCCATGACATAAACGCCATGGGACAGAGCAACTGTCCCCCAGCACCCCCCTCTGGACATGGTCAGCCAGGAAGGAGCAGCACCACCGTAAAGCAGTGCCCCCAACTCCCACCCCAGGCAGCCTATCCAGAAGAACACCATGGTCGATGGTGTCGAAAGCTGCTGAGTGGTCCAGGACTATCAACAGGGTCACACTCCCCTTGTCTCTCTCCCGGCAAATGTCATCGTACAAAACCTGGCCTGAAACCCGATTGAAATGGATCCAGAAAATCCATTTCATCTAGCAGCGCCTGGAGTTGCCCGGCCACAATTCGCTCCCAACACTTTGCCCAAATAAGGGAGATTCACCACTGGTCGGTAGTTAACCACCAGCCTTGTGTCCAGGCTTTTTTAGGAGTGGCTGAATTACCACCTCTTTCAAGATGGTAGGGACCACTCCCTCTCTCAAAAAGGCGTTCACGGCCTCCTGGACCCAGGTGCGACCCCCCCTTGGCAGATCTTCCAATTAGCCAAGATGGGCAAGGGTCGAGTGGAGTGGTGGTAGAATGGACATATCTAAGCATCCTGTCCACATCCTCAGGTCTCAACAACTGAAACTCATCTGTTAATACTTGACCTAAGCACGGCACACTGGACACATCCTCCCATTCTGCAGTATCAGTGGAATCCAACCCACTGTGAAACGGAGCAATTTCCCCCTCAAAATGAATGGCAAATCCATCTTATTGAACTAAATATGTTAACTTGTAAGAGCATTGCACTTAATGCCCCATCACCTAAACCTTTTTATCCTCTACTACACTAAACGTCATATTGGATGCAAAATACCATTCTTCCAGAAAAATGTTTTCTTTGATGCTTTATGTGAACGTTACCTGTGACCAGACTCTACCCAGGCTTGTCACCTTTTAAAATAACCTGCCTTTAAAGGGCTTGACTTCAGCTATAAACATACTAGAACAAGCACTTAAGGCAGAGGTCCCAACCCTCAGTCCTCAGCCCAGTGCCAATCGTGGCCTGAGCCAAACTGGGCCACCGAGACAGACGTCCCCCCCTGCATGCACTCACCCCCGCACGGCCCATTTGTGGCTCCGTGCGTGCTCCAGCACCTGTGTGAGTGCCACACCACTGTTTGTGCCTGCACAAACAGTAATGCTGCACTCGCATGGGTGCACTCTATCATGTGAGAGAGTTCATTCGCCCAAGCGCGGGGGGTGCCCCACCTTCCCCAGCCGGTCCATGGACCGAAAAAGGTTGAGGACCACTGAGTTAAGGAACAAAAAATTATATGTTCTTTATTACAAAGTAACAACTGGTGAAGAAAACAGAGTTGGACATAAGCTTTTCTCAAGATACAAGCCAAATGCCAAAATGCAGAACCTCCCTCTTTGGACAAGAATTAACTTCTCCCCTTCTCTACAGAATGTCTGGCTTCTCCTCCTCATTCAGGCTCTTCTGGAGATGCTCACCTCCTGCATCACCCCAGCCAATCACCTTATTTCTCCTGTGACCAGGCAAAATTGGTTAGGGTTCTTCTATCATACTAGCTAAACTGTCCCTTACACTCTGATGGAAATGCAACAGATACCATAATATTCAATATAGGGACTATACTGCATTTCCTGATAATTTTTTGCTATTACTAGTACTTAAACTAACTGGCCAATAGTAGTCCTAGTGTCATAGGTTCTTTTTTCTTCTTTTTCTTCTTTTTTGATATTGTGAACAATACCCCCTTTTAATGTTAACATCTAAATATCATCTGCAGGAAGAAAAACAGACTTGAAAGGCTAAAGCCTCAGGCATTGCTATTAGATAACCTACTCTTGAATGCTGTATTTCAAAACAAACTTATCCACTGTTGAGAGATTTATCCTGAAAAGAAATATAAATCTATCAAATAATGTTAACAAAAACAAAACATAGGTATTACTGTATATATTAAACAACACTATCTCAGGACTTGGAGATGTGTACTTTTGTAATAAATATTTTAGGGTTCTTAGGTGTGGTCAGAAATTTAAAGTGTTAAAAAATTCAAAAGGCGTACAGCTGCAATATAACAGTAACAATACATGGAGAAAAATCATAATTAAAATAAGCATTTAATAATCATAAATGAAGACTAAAGTTTTACTTGTTGTTATTACTGGCTTTTAAATTGTTCTCATAATCTATTGATTTCCTTTTAATTTTTTTGGTCATTGTTATTAGAAACCAAATGCACTGAAATAACCATTTGAATTATACTGACATCTTGTGGGAAGTTTCCAAACATTCAAACACACAAAATAATTTATTTAGAGCTTTCCCAAAACATGATGAAACTTGGTGTAACAGAAAATGAAGTAATGTATTTTCTGATTGGTCACAGAACTGTACTTAAGTCATGTGTAAAAGGAACATCTTTATCTGCTGTAAGTCAGATTACTTTTTCCTATGCTGTGTGTTGCTTCATGTCATGTTATGCTGCCAGAGGAATGTCTAGTCTCTATTTGTTGTTGTTGAGTCATTTAGTCGTCTCCGACTCTTCATGACCCCATGGACCAGAGCATGCCAAGTCCTCCTGTCTTCTACTGTCTCCCAGTGTTTGGTCAGATTCATGTTGGTTGTTTCGATGACACTGTCCAACCACCTCATCCTCTGCTGTCCCCTTCTCTTGCCTTCACACTTTCCTAACATCAGACTAAGTTGTTGGTTTTACTCTCAGTATCATAAGTATCTCTGCTAACCAATATCTCCTCACTCTGCTGATATTATGAGAATACACATTATAATCAAAATTCTCAACAGTGCATGGGTTTTGTAAGAACAGCTACACTAAAATGATATAAGCACACACTTAGGAGCAGCTCTTCCCATATACAGTGGACCCTCTACTTACGGAATTAATCAGTATTGGAATGGTGGCTCGAGGTCGAAAAGTCTGTAGGTCGAGTCTCCATTGACCTACAATGCATTGAAAACCGATTAATCCCATAACCAGCTGTTTTCGTTCTATTTTGTTTTTTTTCTGGTCTGTAGGTCGATTCTCCGACTGCAAGTCGAATCTAAATTTTGCGGCCAGAGAAGTCTGTAACTCGAAAAGTCTGTAAGTCGAGCTGTCTGTAAGTTGAGGGTCCACTGTAAACTATTATGATTCACATTTATACTCTTTTTTCCTCCAGTGATCTCAGGGCTCACTGTTATACATCTTCTTACAGTGTTCTCTTCACAACTGTTGAGGATCCCCTGTTGAGATCATTTAGACTGAGAATATGACTGATCAAGATTCACCCCTGCACGTTTCTAAACTCAGAGGCTTGAACCTGGATCTCTCAAATCCCAGTCTGACACTCTAATCACTATACCACTACAAAACTCTAATCCTGACAGCTAACATATTCTTGGAAAGCATCACTTTTGGGAAGCAGCAGCCTAAAGTTCGTTATTAAGTTTTAAGCCTCATCTTCAAAGACGTCAGTGTTGCTTCATTATAATAGCTTTAGGCAAACAATGAAAATCCATTTATTCTCACAAGCTTTGGAGATAATAACTTAGCGAGGAAGTCACAATTAGAGTAAATCCATTAGAATCAATGGAATTTACAGAGGAGTTGACTCATCAAAGATCCACCAATTCAGTGGACCTACTCCAGTTCTACCTAAAACACTAAGTAACAAGATTTCAGCCATTCAGTATTTAGGTGGAGTTTTCATCCTAACATTTTGATGGTACATTTTTTGCAACAAGTGTACTACAAATTGATGCCTGAAAGAGGAAAAACTAATCTTATACTTTTTAAAAATAGATTATTGAACAGTTCCTTGTTTGAAAATCAGTCTCCAAGTATATATAATACAGTATATTAAGCATAGCACTTCATAATGAATCTCCACCAAATGCAACACTTCGCATATTACGTTTAATGAAACACCCCCTTAGCAACAAACAAGCACACAGTAGCATACAAGACCTACCCAACATATCACATCAGAACAAATACTGTACTCAGAAAAAGAATCTTGAGATACCTTAAAAATGGTGATGGGGTGGAGAAACAAAGCTAGTTCACTGGCCAAACAAAAGGGAAGCCATGTGGTCCTTGTACAATATTCAAAGGCAATGGTAGGTTATACCTCTATTAGACCACCAAAACATCATAAAGAAATGTAGCTTTCGGACCGTACGGGCCTTCATCAGACTGGGCACCTCTGACAAGAGGTTTGCTGCATTTCTGAGGTTTGCTGAGGACTGTCACTCCAATCCTCAGCCAAAAACTACCCTCAAACAAAAAACAAAACAAAAACCACACAACCTTTTGTTTCAATGTAAAGCAACAAAGGGGTGAGGTGGGAAAAACAAGCGGGCAGCAGCCTATCAGGTGAGTTTCAGACAATTCAGTCAGCATTGCCATAGATGAAATTTAAAACCAACATTGTCGGCTTAACTTTGCTGCCATCAGTTTGAAACCCACATAAGTATGACTTTAAAAACTCCTCTTTTTTTGCACCATCCACAAATAAGAGATCCCAGCATGATGAAGGTCCATATGGGCCAAATTCTAGCATTTCTTTATGGATTTTTAGTGGTCTAATACAGTGGTACTTAACCTTGGGTTACTCAGGTGTTTTTGAACTGCATCTCCCAGAAATCCCAGCCAGCACAGCTGGTGGTGAAGGCTTCTGGGAGTTGCAGTTCAAAAACATCTGAGTAACCCAAGGTTAAGAACCACTGGTCTAATAGAGGTCTGACCTACCCTTGCCTTTTCATTGGCCAAAGTGCCAACTGGACAAGCCCCTGCCTTTCTGCCAAATTATACTAGGGGCATAGTTTTGTCCCTTGGGTAGAAGGCCTAGAGCTCAAAGATGGAGCACATGTCCTGCGTACCAGATATCTCAGATTCAATCCTAGGCACTTCTAGGTAGATTTGAAGAAGACACCCATCTGAAATCCTAGAGCTGCTACTGTTCAGCACAGAGAGTGCAAACCACTAAATCAAATAGACCCAAGGGTTTAAAACAACGTCAGCTTCCCCTGTTTCCTGAGGCCAGTGATAAACAAGGACCTGGACTCAGTTCCCCACTGAACTATTAAGGTTCCCAGGGGAAGGTGTGGCAATGGTAAAACCACTCCTTAAACATCTCACATAGTTTGAATCCCTCTATTAGAGTTGCCAAAAGTTAGATGGAACTTGATGGCAGATAACAAAGCACAAACAGGCCATGCACATTGGTAGCATTCATCATGCAGGGCTAGGTGCAGAGGGGGGAGCTGAGATATAAACGTAACAAGTAAATAGGTAAGAAAGGATGTGCAGCATTAGAACAAAGGCTGGAGGAATATACTTTTATATTTTTATCCACATCACTGATATGACATTGGATAACTTTGCTTGTCACAAATCACCATCATGTAGATCATCCCTTAAAAATTATTACTGAATGTTCTCCTTACTCCAAGTGTTCAATGTGGATTTCATTCACCAGCACCTCTGCTTTAGACAGGGTATTTTGTACATAAAAATAACAGGAAATCTAATCAGCATCCCCAGTCCAAACAACTAACAAAACAATATTGCAGATGAAGTGCATCACACAAAAGGCAGTCTAATGAAGGGGGGGGGAGAGAATGCTATCAGTATGGAGGCAGGACTGAACTTCAGCAATGAAACAGGCGTTACCTATTTGCAGTCAATCTTACAGGCCACGTTTTAGCAAACGAATTTAAGAGCACATAGAGGTGACCCAGTGCAGTGGTTAGTTGTAGGATCAGGGAGATAACAAACCAAATACTCTTCTCAATCATGAAGTGCAGCTGTGAACCCACATACTTTTTTTCCACACCTAAGCCTATCCACTGCATAGGATTGTTGGGAAGACAAATACGGGGGAGCGTATAACCACCTCACCTCCTTGGGAGGAACAAAAATGCATAAACAAATCAAAACAAAAGATTAAAGGTGCCGAAACTCGCTCCCGGAAAGTAAGGCGTAGAACTTTCACTTCGCCATGTAGTAGGAACAGCTAAAAGAAGCCACCAGCTAAAAAACAGAACCATTAACGCTTCTCGACAAACAGGCACCCCACCACCTCTCTCAGAAACCGCCCTGTCCAAGCGGCCTTTTCTCTCTCTCTCTCTCTCCTTCATTCTCTCACCTCCAACGGGTCTTACTCGGCTCGGCTGTTTAAAAATGGCGCTTCAGCTCTGCTCGCCCCTCCCCTTCGTTCTCACTTGAGCCCTTGCGGGACCCGTACACTGTTTTTCACCTTTTCATTTTCCGAGCGGCCGGTAGGAACCCACCGGACGGGGTGTTAGGGGCAGTCCTAAAGCATCACGGGTATGCGGAAGCGGCGTGTGGGGAAACAGGGCGCGAGGTGGCGCGCGAAGACACCCCGGGGGCGGAGTTCGCTCCGGTCCCAGGGAAGCGGAACCAATAGCGGAGGAGGGAGGGCGTGGCTCTTTTGCTATTAAGGTGTGTGTGTATTTGTGTGTGTTGCTTTCTATCTATAGAGAGAAAGAGTATTTTTTATCTCTGTTTACTTGCTGCGCTCAATGGGATGGCTCCCAGGTCAGTTCGTATCTGGGAGGAGAATACTATGATTCTTTAGGCTTCCCCTGCCCCAATTTTCCTAGGAGGAAATTGCGTTGAATTCAGTAGATTTACTTCCGAATTAAAGATACGTAGGAGCGGATTTCTGATTAGATGCATGTTATGTTATGTCAATTGCGCGTATCCTGCGAGGTTCAAGGAGCTAACGAGGTCGTTTGAAAGACAGGGAGATCGAGCGCCAGAGCTGTTTCATCATATGATAAGATGTTGAGTTTTCAGTAAATAATATAAAATAAAACATGGATTTGTGTGGTGAATTGAGCGTGTTACAGATGACAGCTGTAGCTGATTTTCCGTCCAGAAAAGCGGTATACAGTTAGAATGGCAGAGAGAAACAAAAGAGAAAGTCGGTTATCGAGAACATTGACCGGTTTATCCAAAGACTTCTGATCTAATCGAAGGCGGTAACGTTTGTGTTCTCTAACAGGGAAATCTAAAGTATTTTGTTGGAACAGGTCCTGCTGAGAGAATACTTAAACTGTGTACAAGATGGTGTTCCGTTAGACACTGCGTGATGAATTAAATGCTAAGAAGCGTTTATTAATATACTGCTTTTAACGTTTAATATGCATTAGGTAATAAATTTTTGAAAGGTTTTCTATCTGTTCTATAGCTAAGTTAAAAAAGCTAGCAATTGTTCACCGTTCGTGTAACTTTTCAGTTCTCATGAAAAATTTATTCCAACACCTAATTAGCTGGCAGTGTTTTTTGTATTAACCAATTTATCTGTTGCAAGGATGCTTACTTAAGCTGACTGGATAGCTCATTGAGTTGGTAAAGATTAGAAGTTATGTTCTAAAACTATTCAAGAAGAGCCAGCCTGTGTAGCCTTGGGCAAGCCACACAGTACCCCAGAGGAATGGAATGGTAAACCACTTGTGAGAAGTCTATATACTTCTCCCTTCAACAACACTGGGGGGTTAGAGGCACTGAATGGTGCAGTTCAAAATTCATGTATAATTCCTGTGCCCCTCAAAATGTAACTGCAAACCATAAATACTTGATTCTCTCTCTTTCTCAAAGGCTGACCTGACCTCTGATCTAGAGAGTGAATTAGAGATGTTGTGTTTGGGGTCAAGTAGATCACTTTGACATCTTCAGTGTTGAACTCATTGAGTTCTGGGTAACCAGGGTCACAATATTTATTGAATATTAATTTACTGAATATTAATTATTGAACAAAATCTGTGTATAACTAAAAACATTACTGTTGAGATCAATGCAGTTCAAGGGAGAAGTGTTATCTAGAGAAGCCTGTGATAAATTGGAATCAACTTGAGACCATATAATTGTTAATGTATTATAACCTAAACAGCAGTTGGAAATTAATTACTGCTGTTGATAATACAGCTGTCATCTTCTGTATTCCCCTTCACTTGGTTTCCATCCTCACAATCATCTACATTTTGCGTATATAATTGTGACTTGTGCTATGCTCCATGTGTCTGAAGGACAAGATTGTTGTCTGTGAAAATTCCCACAGAGAAATCTAATAGCCTTAAAGATGACACAGGTGTTATTGTTTTTATTATACATGCTGAAATAAACCAGTTATCTCTTTGAAAATTGTTAGAGAGCACTATAACCCAGATATAGAAAACTTCAGTATTGCATATAGTTTTATTTTCCCATACATAGCATGAACAAATGGATGCCTATGCAGCTGTGGTAGTAGAAACCATTGTCTCATTGAACACAGAGCAATGCATTTCTCAAAAACATGAACCAGTTGTGAAGCCCTCATATTGGCCATTTTAATTAGAAATATTAATTTTAAAAATCTAACCAACCCATGCAAGCCTAAAGAGAACTTACTCGAGACAGTTTTTTAAACTACTAGAACCTTAATAGTTCAAACAACAAAACAAAAAAGGGAATCCATGAACAATAACAAAATTCAGGGATCACTAAATGTTACAAACATGATGAGCTTTTGAGTTTTCCAGAACTCTTCACAGAAGGTATAGAATTGTAGGTGAGGAAGTAAAACAAGTCAAAGCTATGGTCAGATGTAGTCATTGTCCTTGTAGCAGACTGACTTGTAAGATGGAGGTTGAAGATTCAATGGAGAATGATTGTAGCCTCTGTACCTCATTCATCTTACAATTTCCCCTTCTTTCCTAGTAGTCCCTGAAATATTGTAGTATTTAAGCCTTTTTAAAAAAGAGTTCCGGATAACTCAAGAAACTTGTCAGTAGCTCAGAGCATTTTAAATTTACAACGCAGTGCATACTCTGAGGCTCTTCACAATTAAAATATAACTAGTTTATCTGTATATTTCTGTGTACATACTTCTCCTTAAGAAAGCAGAAGGAGCAGCCAGATGCCTCTGTGAAGTCCACAGAACATGATAGTTAAGTCAAGCATTTGGTGTCATGAGAGACACGTGGCTCAACAACAAGGTTCTCTTTGACACCGTTAAGAACAGTAGGTATCACTAAACTTCTCAAATTGTAAGATTTAAAAACAACAGAATAGTGACACTTTAAAGTATACTGCTTTTATACTACTCCACAGCACTTAAAGCACTTTCTGGGTGGTTTACAACATAATTATGCAGGTGACATATTTAAAGGCTAACAAGTTTTATTTGACTTAACAAATTCCATTCATTTAAGTGTTTGTGGACTATAGCCCTCTTCGCTAGCTGTATAGAATGTAGCTACAATAGATCATAAATAGACATTCCTTTTTTTAAAAGAGCATAAGCTCACAATATGCATTATTTCCCCCATCAGATCTATTCTCCTTCCTATCTCTAAATTGGCAATGCATGTGAGGTGGTGACCACTTACATGATCGTATTCAGGCAGCCATGTGTCCAGTTTGCTAACTGCAGACAAATAACATTATTGATAACCTGAGAGCTGATTTTTGTGGCATATGTCAGCATCTGGAGCAGCACTTGTTAGAAGGAAAGAGGCTTTGATATCTGTGCTTTACAAGAAAAAATCAACTGTTGGAACTGTGATCCACTAGAAATTGATCAGTCAGGTTTCCATGCTTTATTTTTAAGCACCCTTTTACTACATGTCTCTACACTCAGTAAATTATAATTACCTTAAATATTTAAATGAACAAAAATATATAGCAGTTCCAAAACAGTGATACAGTACATCAGTTTGCAAGTATCTGTTGCTATTTTGTTGTAACTGCAGGTTCGATGCATTCTTTGCTCATGCCCTAGACACAATCCATTGAAGCTTCCCCATGATTTGCAAAGCTGCTCCATGAACTCGTCTAAAACCTCTAGGCCAAAATCACATAAGCACTTTAATTACCACCTCCTCTTGCTTCCAGTTAATAATGATTAGAAAGATATTATTAGGAAGAAGATTAAAATATAAGAACAGCTTAATGGGAAACATGGTGAGTGGAGACTAATGCATTTCCGGAAGAGTGCATCTGTTCATAGGTGACACAAAAACCAGGAAGGATAAAATTATTATTGTAAATTCACCTTCTAATCCTATCTGTCCATACGTCTATTTTCAAAACTTGATACCACACATTTAAATAGCTTCTATCTTCTGTGCATAACGTTCTTTGGGCTACAGAATAGGCCAATTTGATCATTCTACTTTTGTGAGTTGAAGAAAGGATTAACTAAAGGAAATACATGTGGTTTGGTTCCTTTTGTTACTAAGATGATGAATCAGAAATTGCAATTTAGAATTAGTGCATGAACATGTTACTTAAAAGTCACCAGTGGGGGAAGAGAGAAAGACAGACAAGTGGGTTTGGGTATCTTGTTCATCTTGATCTTTGATAATGATCACATCTTTCTTAGGTGACTTGGAAATAGTTCATTTCCTTTTTCTTTTTCATGTGGAAAGCAGACCTGGCCATGTTGGCCTTCAGTACATTTGCACATATAGTAACCAAGTCTAGCAGTTTCTATACTTAATATAGTTACTCTTGCTGTTGTCCTTCAAATGGGTTTTGCCATGCTTGCTCTAATGTCCACTGCATGTTCAGCACACTCCAAGCCAATCTGATAGGTACATTAGGCAGCAGTGATTAGACCAGGTTTAGATGGAGACAGGGAAAATGAATATGTGTGTATCCATCCAAGTCTGTCTTTCATATACAAGTTAGCCCATCCAAGGTGAAAGGAATATTTTTTCAGTCAGTTTGGTAGAAGTCTTTTTACAATTTTTGATGAAAATAAGAAAAGTTCAGTAAATGACTTCAAACAGGACGTCTTTATATTTGAAAAAATATATTTTAAAAACTCCAAACATATAGTGCTGGGGTCTCCAAACTACAGGCCACATCCAGTCCATCTTGTCATTTTATCTGGCCTGTTCCCTTCAGCCCGTGCAAGGGGAGGGGCAAGTGTGCAGGCAGGCGGCCGTGTGCACACACACATTCCTGATCCTTCAGCCCTCAAAAATGTTGGAAATATCTGGTGTGGCCCTCACGGTCAAAAGTTTGGAGACCCCTGATAGGGTAGATAGAGGCTGATATTTAAGGTCAGTTGTGACTGTGGCTGGACTACAATGGGCCTACTAAACCAGTGTAGATTTGGTGAGTCAGTTCCTCTGTAAGTTCCATTGATTCAAATGGGCCTATTCTAGCAATGACTTACATTAGCACAGTAAGTTACAAATAGAGTGGGCTCGTTTGACTCTGTGGAACTTACGGAGAAGTACAATCACCAATCCCCACTGATTCAATGGGCCTTCTCTAGTGCAACTTATTATACTAAGCAACAAGATTTCTG